GTACTGCACTCAATTAACAAATTTAGAATTTGGGATAGGGTAAATTTATCTCATTTATAATTTTTGAATAAAATTATGAAAAAACTTTTTTATTCAAACTAAATTAAATAAGCTTAAAATTTATAAAATATATGCCTTTAACTTTAATTAAACGTGATTTTCATTTATAAAAGCTAAAATTAAATTGGGGATGATGGAGCTTCTACTATTGGTACAGCACTTGGTAACTGCAAGTTCCTTACTAATCTCGTTTTTGATATTTAGTAACATTAATTTAAAATTAATTTATATATAATTTAAAAAGTTCGAATTACTTTTTTTATTTTGATTTAAATGTCAAATCAAATTTAAATAGTGAATAAATTGATCTATTTTGTTTGAAAAGGGAAAATCAAATTGGTGATAGAGGAGCATAAAATATTGGATTAGGTTTAAGTAACTGCACTTAGCTTACAAATTTAAAATTTGTGATAAGGTAAATTTATCTCATTTATAATTTTTGAATAAAATTATGAAAAAACTTTTTTATTCAAACTAAATTAAATAAGCTTAAAATTTATAAAATATATGCCTTTAACTTTAATTAAACGTGATTTTCATTTATAAAAGCGAAAATTAAATTGGGAATTATGGAGCCTCTACTATTGGTACAGCACTTGGTAAGTGCAAGTTCCTTACTAATCTCGATTTTGATATTTAGTAACATTAATTTAAAATTAATTTATCGATAATTTAAAAAGTTCGAATTACTTTTTTTATTTTGATTTAAATGTCAAATCAAATTTAAATAGTGAATAAATTGATCTATTTTGTTTGAAAAGGAAAAATCAAATTGGTGATAGAGGAGCATAAAATATTGGATTAGGTTTGAGTAACTGCACTCAATTAACAAATTTAAAATTTGGGATAAGGTAAATTTATCTCATTTATAATTTTTGAATAAAATTATGAAAAAACTTTTTTATTCAAACTAAATTAATTAAGCTTAAAATTTATAAAATATATGACTTTAACTTTAATTAAACGTGATTTTCATTTATAAAAGCTAAAATTAAATTGGGGATGATGGAGCTTCTACTATTGGTACAGCACTTGGTAACTGCAAGTTCCTTACTAATCTCAACTTTTAAATTTGGTAACATTAATTTAAAATTAATTTATCGATAATTTAAAAAGTTCGAATTACTTTTTTTATTTTGATTTAAATGTCAAATCAAATTTAAATAGTGAATAAATTGATCTATTTTGTTTGAAAAGGAAAAATCAAATTGGTGATAGAGGAGCATAAAATATTGGATTAGGTTTGAGTAACTGCACTCAATTAACAAATTTAGAATTTGGGATAGGGTAAATTTATCTCATTTATAATTTTTGAATAAAATTATGAAAAAACTTTTTTATTCAAACTAAATTAAATAAGCTTAAAATTTATAAAATATATGCCTTTAACTTTAATTAAACGTGATTTTCATTTATAAAAGCTAAAATTAAATTGGGGATGATGGAGCGTCTACTATTGGTACAGCACTTGGTAACTGCAAGTTCCTTACTAATCTCGAATTTTAAATTTGGTAACATTAATTTTAGATTAATTTATCGATAATTTAAAAAGTTCGAATTACTTTTTTTATTTCGATTTAAATGTCAAATCAAATTTAAATAGTGAATAAATTGATCTATTTTGTTTGAAAAGGAAATCTCAAATTGGTGATAGAGGAGCATAAAATATTGGATTATGCTTAAGTAAATGCTCTTAGCTTACAAATTTAAGTTTAATCTCAGAGTAAATTTCATTTATTATTTTTAAAAAAAATTAAATTAAAAATTTTCAGATGTTAATTAAAATATCTTTTTTTTTAGCAATGATGAGAAATTTCTAAAATCAAGTGAAATCATCAACTGTAAAAACATAAAGTTATTAAAACTTTTTAGGTAACTACTTTTTTTTATTAGAAAATATTAGATATAAATTTTTGATTATCTAAAAATTAAATTTATGTTTGAAAAAAGATAAGGTACTGAAAAAAAATAAAGAGAAATCAAAAGATAAGCTTTAAAAATAAAAAGATTAGTAAAATTAATTGTAGATGAAAATTGAATTACTAAAATAAATAATTAAATATTAATTTATTAACATTACATATTTTTTAAACATTAAAGATTAAATATAAAAGTTGTATAATGAGTATATATTTTAATCTTTAATTTCATTTCATAAAAAATAATTTATTGAATATCAAAATTTAATTATCATTTAATAAAATCTTTAAAATAATATATGCTTTTTAGGAAAAATCTTTCTTTTGTATCTACTATATTAACCATTTGCAAAATAAAAACTGTATTAATTTACTTTTTTAACCTTTAAGTATCTTCAATTAATTATATTTTACAATTTGCAAGTATCAACTTTTTTGAATTCATGCAAACACTATTTATTTAAAATCTAAATAAATTATCATTAATTTTTGTTATTTACTATTTATTATTAATTCTATAATTTAAATTAAAATAAATTTTATTTTTCTTATTAATAAAAATTATTTGCTTAATAACTAAATAATTATCAGCAGTCAAGCATTTTTAAAATAACAAATTGCTATAATAAATAGTTGACAATTATAGAAAATTATTTTCTTAATTTGAATCAATCTCTTAAATTAGATTATTTATTGTATTTTATTAAAAGTATTGTTAAAATTTGAATTTTTTCTTAAGTTATTTAGTATGCATAAAATTGAAAATTTATTATTAAAATAAAAATATTCTGCAAAATTCTGTATAAAAACTATCTCAGTTTAAGCAAATAAAATCAGCCAAAGCCAATATTTGATTGATCACTAATTTTTTAACTTTACAAATTTTCTGCAAATATAATTTTAAATAAAAGTTGTAGAATATTTTAGAGTATTAAATTGTTTTGAATAGGAAATTTGTGTTTTTTTATAAAAATATTTTTAAAAATTATTTAAATAAATAAATATATTTCTATGTAAAGTTATTTAATTCTAATTTTATATTGATTTATCTGCAAAAAAAAATGCATTTTTCTTCTATTTTATTTTAAAAATTCGAAATGAAAATTAAATAAATCAATGAATAAAATATAGAAATTAAATAAAAAACTAAATATAAAATATCTTTAATTAAACAAAGTAGTACCTAAAATTTATAAATTAAAATAAAAAATATATTTATGAGTAACAAATATAATATGGATGTTTTATAAAAAATTCAATAAATTAATTCATTTTTTATCAGCTTTTTAAATTAACAAAGATGGAGAAGCCTACTTGTTTTATAAGGGAGCCTAAGATAATACTTATTTTTTCTTATTTTTGTTAGATACTTCGTTATCATAGGGTTAGTCTTCTTCTAATTAATAATTACTTCCAGCTAAATTATCATGTAGTATATTATCTTTTATTTAAACTTTTAATGGATAAATTAGAAGATTTTTGTTAATATCTCCTGCAGAAGAGCTATCATAGTCTTTTTTAGCTTTTTCTTCTATGCAATTTTAATCTGAACCTTATTATGATGATTTATCATAAACAATTATATTGTTTTCTTTCTAACCTTGATAGACTTGCATCTGTAGAGAAAATTAGGTGTTTTATTGCTAATCTGCATTATTTCTTGATTTATTAAATATTTCATACGCAGAATCAATTCCATAAGTTATCATAATCATAATCATTATTGCAAAATATGTATTTGCTTAACGGAATAAGCCATTTATAACTCCATAACAATCTAAGGTAGTTATTTTATTTGCTATGTAGAGATTCATAAAATAAAAACCAATGCTACCATAAATAAAAAACAAAGTAACAAAGTGATGTGTTCTATGTAATTACTAAACTTTTAGGTTTCCTAAAATAACACAACAAGTATAAGCTAGCATACCTTAGTAAAATAAGTTTGTTTATTTACCATTTTTATCAGAGAATTCACCAACACTTAAAAATCTAATTAATTATTAACATTTTTTAAATATACTTTAAATTATTTTATTTTTTATTTATTTTAAATAATTGCAAAAAATTTCATAAATTTTATATTTTTTTTCATAAATGTTATTTTTTTAATTAAGCTACCATAAAAGAAATAAAGATTAGAGTAGATTATTTTGAATAAAAATATTTATATCACTTGGCTTTTAAAAAAATATGGCAGTTTATAGCTTTAATTGAATTAAATGGAAAAATTAATTTATTTGTTTAAATAAAAATTATTTAAAATCAATAATAAATAAATAAAGATAAAAATTTTTACGATAGAAACATAATTATGAGGGAATGCAAGGAACCGTAGAAAAACCAACTCCAAAAGTTTTTTTGTTGAAAGATAAGGTTGTTAGTAAGGTGTTTGTAATCTTGGGGCCTTGACTCTAAAACATTCTTTCTTGTTTAGATTGGTTAAAAGAACTCGTTTGAAGGATGCATTTCATCGAAAAGAGCATATAATATAATAGGAAGAGAGACATAGAACAAATTAAAAAATTATGTCATCCACTAATCATAAACATATTGGGCACTCTAACCAGCATAAAAATTAAACCAAAAGTAAACTAAATTCCAAGCTTAATTTTTATAAAAGTTAAAGAATATTAGGTAACTATTTTTTCTGTAAGCTTCTTAGCCAGTGTATAGCAATAATCTATTTAAATGTTTGAATTCTGCGAGAGAGAAATCAGAAGCCTTAGCTGCTTCTCTTCCCTTTTTCATAAGTGAAAATAGTTAGTTAAAAGATTACATGCAAATTACTTTACCTCTTTACCACGAATTCCTATTCCTACGTTAGCTGCTTAGATCATATTGATGTCATTAGCACCATCGCCAATCGATAGAACGCACTATCCTGGACTTATTTAATGGACTAAATCAACTAATTGCTTTTTCTGAATAGGAGTGAAATGGAAGGCTATCACTGAATCAGCATTTTTCATGACAAAATTGAAGTTTTCAATAAGCTCTGCATTCTATGAAATGTGGATATTATGATAAGTTAATCCAGAAATACCAATGCTGAGTTTTTTTTAATCTTACAATTATTTTTTATATTTTTTAAGCTACTCAATAGTAAAATTATCATTTTACCCATTTTCAACTCCTTCTTCAATTACTTGTAAGTCACCATCTTTTTCTACTATGTTGGATTTTATTCCAATGCTAAGCGCTGTTTCTTTTTTGTCTCCAGTGATCATCCAGATTTTTATTCCTGCTTTCTTTAGATTAGCAAGTGTTGAAACTACTTGGTCAGCGAATTCATCATTCACACCAGTTCCACCAATCAAAATGTGATTTTTTTCAATTAAAGAAAAAACTTAATCATTTATATCTTAGATATTTAGGTTTCCTTTACTTAGTTCTTCATTTTTCCTTTCAAAAATAAAATCTCATTTTAAATCAAATAAAATATTTTTCAAATTACTTTTGCAAAAAATCAGAAACTTCTTTTTCAGTTAGGTTTTTATAAGAAAGACAAAGAGTTCTGAGCATGTTGTTTGCGTAATCATTAAGATGCTCCTCAACTTTCACCTTTTTAAAAGATTAATCTTCTGAACAAATGTCGAAAATTGTATTCATAGCTCCTTTTTAATATATTTTATATTGCTTTGTCTATAGATTCTACACTAGAACTGACATTTTCCTTAACTCTGAGCGATACTCATGAATAGCAATAAGCTTAAATTGTATGGTTCTTCCATTGATAGAATCTATAATAGTCATAACTTTATGTTCATCAATACTATCTAAATATATTCCTGTATTTAAGCAAAATTCCATAATGCATTCTTCATCAGGGCTTGTTCCTAGATAGAGTTTTTTACCATCAACGAACTCGATCATCAATTCATGGCATAAATTCATGCATAGAAGAGCTTCATATTCAAGCTAATTTCAATATTTTAAGTTATAAATTTCATATAAAATTAATTAATTAATTACTTGATTTTCTGATGAATCCTTTAATTACTCAAGCAACTTTGTACTATTAAGAATTCCATTATCGTCATATGCAGTATGCTCGTAAGAGTTGCTATTGACAGATAATGCTTTGAATTTCATAACATTTCCAGTCAACGTACCTGTTTTATCAGTGAGGATGTACCTGACTTGTCCAAGCTAATCTATCAAATTACTACTATTTACTTCTACTAGTTCGTCACTTAATTTATTTACAAAATTTTTGTCTCTTGTTAACAGCTATCCTTGGAGATACTTCACAATTTCAAGAGTTACTAGAAGCGATATGGGAACAAAGTTACTTAGGAGTAAAACCCACATTGGAATTCTGAGAAAGAAATCTCCTGCAGGGTAAGACTCAATGTCATGTTCTCCTATATGAAGGTAAGTAAGTTCGTCTTTTTTGTAGCTATACCAAATCACATAATAAGCAGCACAGAATATGCTTATTAATATAAGGATCAAGAAAATATAAAAAACCATTTTGTTCATCATCTTTTCAACTGTGCCAAATTTATAGCTTGAATAAATTAAATGTTTGAAATAGTTCTAAATAATTTAGATATTTACTGTCCTCTTTAGGCATATTTCAAAGACTTGCAATCGTGTCCAGAATATATAACAACAGCTGTAATCGAGTGAGTACGTTTAAGAGTGCATCCTCTCAAGCATATATTTTACAAAGAAAGAGGATATTTGCTTTTTGAAGGATCTTTCTCTTGTTCATCCATCATTATTCCATTGAAACTGTGTATGCGATAATTTGGGTCTTCATATTAAAATTAAAATCTCCCAATATTGTTTACATTCTTAACAGCATTTTCATCAGTAAAAATGAGAGATGCACAACTCTGTCTCAGCTTTAAATTTGTTTCTCCATCTAAATTTTTGGTCTCAACATAACAATTTCCCTTAAAAAATGAAAAAAAACTCATTTATGAGTCATAAATATTTTATATAATTTTGCATATAAAAAATCAATGTATTTTCCTTTAAATTTTTATATTAATAGATACACTAATTTACATATTGATTAGTAGTAGAAAGAATCAAAATGTCAGCAGGAAATCGCTCATTTAAGTCAACTTTAATAATATCGCCAATTGTAAGTTCTTCCCATGCTACTTTTTCAAATTCCCCGGACGAAGCATTAAACCTGTTTGTTAAAGATTTATTTTCATATTCATCTTGTTTTCTCCTTTTTCTATCTTCGATAAAATCCTTTACCATACTTATAAAAATAATTATGCCTAAAGGAGTATAAACGAGAGGCTTTCCATCAGTAGTAGTAATTTAAGGTATGATTTGACAAATACCAATAATAATAAAGTATATATTTGCGAGTTTGCTAAACTAAACTAGTAAATTCTTAGGAATGAAGGTTAAATAATTGTATTTTGATGTCTAAATCCTATTATTGCAAACCTAATTATCAGGTATTCCTGCGTAAACTGACCTAAGTTCCTACTTTCTTGCTACTTTCTTTTTAAAGCAGTATAGATATGGCTTTTCTATTGCATTCTCATAAGAATTTTGGATCTTATTTACCTTATCGACTTAATAAATCTACATATGACTGAATATTTTTAAGTATACTAAATTTAGTTAAGTTCAAAGAACTAATCAATAATTGTCTTTAAAATTTGCTTTAAAACAATAAACTTAATCTATTGATTGAAAACTAATAATAAAAATTGAGTATATTTCACTTTTACGCTTACAACTCATTTCATTATTCATTATTTGATAAAATGCCTTTCTCCTAAATGTAATTTCTAAAATTTAACTTTCTAAATTGATAAAAAGACTACCAAACAATTTACATTGAATTTATGATTAAATTATGTTTTTTAGTTTTATTGTATTAACCTAAAGTAAATTCTATTCTAACTTAGTTTACTTATAAATAAAAGCAATAAATAAAATAAATCTTTTTTTTATTTTCTAAAGAGTTCTAAATTGTTTTTGTAACAAAAAAGCATTGATAATTGTTACTTATTTAAAAATAAATCTTTTGGTATAAATTAATTGATATATTAGTACTATCCTTAACTTCAACCACCAAAGAATCTCTTTGACACTTTCTTAATTTTCAATGCAAAAATAAATATTATTACAAATAATCTATTTTTTTAATTTTTACTTATTATGCCAAGAATCCAAGCAGAGTTTTAATAAATAAATATAGGTATTAAAATTTGTAAATTCGCTATCTTTCATAATATTTCAAAATAAGTAGATATTTAATTTCTTCATCAAAATCACAATTCTATCATAAATTGATACATATGTAATTTAACTTAAATATTTGATCACTATAGAAAGCATTTACATCATGTATCGGTAAATAAAAGTTGAAATATTAAATATCAATTCAATTTAGAATGGATATTAATTATATTTCTTAAATTTTCAATGCAGAAAGAAATTAATATATTTACAAATAATCTATTTTTTTTATATTTTTACTTATTATGCCAACAATCCAAGCAGAATTTTAATAAATAAATAAATAAATAAATATAGGTATTCAAATTAGTAAATTAGCTTTTTTCAAAATAGTTAGATATTTCATTTCTTCATCAAAATCGTAATTCTATCATAAATTGATACATATGTAATACAACTTAAATGTTTGATCAGTATGGGATTCATTCATCATGTATCGGTATACATACCAGTTGTACTATTAAATATCAATTCAATTTAGAATATCAATTATATTTTTAATAAAATTAATACTTTATTCAGATTATCTTCTATGATGTTAATTTTTAGAATGAAAATTATTTTATTTTTTACCAGAATAATTACTGGGAGTTCAATAACATTTTATATTCTATGGCTTTTCCTATTCTTGCTGTTTTTTATTCATCAATATTTTACTAATAGAATAATTAAAATTATCTAAAGAGCCAAATAAAAAATAAAATTATTTATTAATAAAATTTGAAATTTATTTAGATTTTGATCAAAACACTTATTATAATTATATAATCTAATAAAAAATTTTAGAATTTTCACTCCTTTTAATTTTTTACATACAAATATTATAAAATATATTCATAAAAAATATTAATATATAATATTACTAAGATAAATAAATATTGAAGTTCAACTAAATACAAATAGTAAATAAATAAATTGATTTATTTTAACATTTACTTAGTTTTGTTAATATGTTTATTTGCTTGCTAGATTGCTTGTTTTTCAACAATCTAATTTATTTGTCTCTTTTTTTAAAGCAATTTAAATTTCTATCATCTTTAAATTATTCTTAATGAAAGAACTTTGAGGATTAATTTACAAAGCTTTTAAAAAACATTATTAGGCCTCTTCTAGCATCTCTTAGTGAGCGTAAAGTTCTGCTAAGTAAGCATAAGATTTGTAAGAAGTGGGATCTATTTCTAAAGCCTTCAAAAAGCATTATTTTGCTTATTAAAACATTTTCATGTCTATATAAACTAAGCCTAAATTATTATGGCCATTAACATATTAAGGATTGATTTCCAACGCTTTCAAGAAATATTATTTTGCATCTTCCAACATTTACATATCAATGTAAATATTTCCTAAATTGTAAAGACATTTATAATCTAAAGGATCAAGTTAAAGAGCCTTTTCAAACTATTATTTCGCTTCTGTTAGCAAGTTTTACTAATAAAATAAATTACCTAAATTAATATAAGCGCTAACATAATTTGGGTAAATTTCTAAGGCCTTCTAAAAGCATTCTTTTGATTGCTTTAGCATACTTAACTACTAATAAACTAGTCCTAAGCCGTTGTAACAATAAGGTTATTCAGGGAAAATTTCCAAAGCTTTTAAGTAGCTTGCTTTTGCTTCCTTCAGCATATTCATCTTAAAATATACTGTAGCTAAATCATTATAATAAACAGAAGGTCCAAATTTATTTAAATTTATAGCATTTAGATAACACTGTCTTGCTTGTTCTAAATTATTCAAACTCTCATAAACTCTCCCTAACTAACCATAAATTTCATGGTTTTTAGGTTCGATTTGCAAAGCCTTTAAGTAGAATTAACTTGCTTCTTCAAGCATATTTTATTAATGATAAATCCCCCAAAAAACTATTAGCTTCAAAACATTCAGGTTAAATTTGCAGAACCTTTATGTAGCATTATTTTGACTCTTCAATCTATTCATTTAACTTAAAAATTAAAGCTTAATTTAAATATGATGAAACACTATCTAGAGGATCTGATTCTAATTGATTCATTAACTCTTAAATAAGTTTATTTCTTATTGGTTTTTAGCAAAAAAAATATTTTTTATTCATACTAAATTTCTAAACATTTAATTGTTAAATTTTGATTTACTTAAATAAACTATGTACTTTTCTAATCATACTTTTATTTATTTATTTAAATATTTTATTATTTACCTAATTTTTATATAGTATTGATTATATTTATTGATTTAAATCACATTATTAGTTTATTAAACATTTTTCTACATAACAGAGAGTTTTTAATAAATATCTTTCTATATTTTATTTAGATATTATTTTTATATTCTTTTATTAAATTTAAAAGCTGTAATTTATTTCCAATAAGAACCTAACCAGAGCCTAATATTTCTTTTCTATAATTTCTAGAAAACATTAAAAAAGAAAATAAAATCAAAAATATTATTTAATTACAGTATAACCTCTAAATCTCTTACCGTGTCGATACGGTATTTTGTACCAAAGTATGGTATATAATTATTTTTAAAAAATTTTAATCTTAATTAGAAATTCTCTTATTCAAGAGCACTGACGGTATTTATTTTAATAAATTATAATTATGGTGAAATAATTTTATTAAAAACTCTAATTTAAGGTACATTCTAAATGATGTTAAAATATAATATTATAAATTTACTTTGTATTATCTTAAGTTAGATAACTAAAGTGTTGTATAATTTAACAGAAATAATTCAATAATTGTAATACATCTATGAGAAGAAATTATTATTGTTTATAATCATGAACTAGAATAATAAATTTAGTTCTTATAATATTATTTATTTCAATTTTACTTCTAAAAATATTATTTACAATAATTCTTGCTAGAACTTGCACTATTATTTATCTATCTGCAAAAGTTTTTTCAAATTGAAAAATAATTAAATTAATATATTTTTAATATTTTATAAGTAAAAATGAAATTTTTATTACCTTATGGACTAATTTAGTTAGTTAGGGGTAAGTAATAATATTTAAGTTATGATGCTAAATATGTCAAAAATAGATTTTTATTTATGGCTTTATATAGAATTAACATGCAAATCAAAATTTTTAATTATGATGCTGAATTTAAAGAGATTAATTTCAAAAACTATTATATTATGAGCGAATATTTAGCTAATTTTTAAAAATTAGTTTGCTTGTTATATAATTAAATATTAAATTAAAAATTTTTAATTTTTTACAACATTCTTTTACTTTTATTGATATATATTAGACAATAAAAATTATACAATTTTTTAATATTTATTTTATTTATAATTAAATATTCTCATAATCTATATTATAAAACATACAAGAAATATATATTAAATAAGTTGGTTTCATTAATTATCAATAAATTACTATTTTATTGATTAATTAATAATTAGGGTAAAAATAGGATCATGAAATTAATTTTAATTCTTAAAATAATAAAGAATATCAATAAATTTATTAAATCTATATATATTAATCTTATTTATATAGCATTTCAAGTATATACAGTAAACTCTTTCTAAATTCAACACTCAAGGAACCAAGATTAATTTTTAGCCAACATATTGAACTAAAAAAACTTTTTTTTGGGCTAAAAAGATACTTAGGGAATGCCTTAATTAATGAGCATTTACAGTATATATATTTAAAACTTAAAAAATTAAAATATTTATTTACCTTTTTTCCTTGTACTTCGTATCTCGTAAAACAAGAATTTATGATTAAGCTTTAAGTTATTCATTCATTTATACTTTTTAAGCTTTTAGTCAAATTCGTAAGGTTTCTAGAAATAAGGTAAGTGAAAAATGTTGAATAAATTAATAAAATATTAGTTTTATGTATTTTAAAGTAAATTATTACATACATAAAACATAAAATAGTAAATTACCAATTAATTTTAGAAAAGAAATTAATAATTTTTTGTTAGTTTTAATCTCCTGTTACTTTTAAAGGCTTAGGCGTGGATAATTCTTTCTTTCTTTTTTCTTTTTTGTATATGTATTTTGATCTAAAAAAAAGGATTGAATATCACCTATAAAGTCACTGTGAATCATAGTTTTGTTTGCTTATTCAGGCTTGCTATCGATTTTTAGATTATTAGTTTTTTTGGATTCGTTATGCCAAAGAATTCATTTTGGCCATTAGTGCCATTATCATCTTCTTCGCTCTCAACTGCATGCTCTTCTACATAGTATTCTGATAAGTCTTAACTATCTTCATTTTCTTCTAGTTCTATGTTACTTAAGTATATGAAAGAATTATAATTAGATAAAATGAATAATTTTTTACTTTTAATTTTATAAATTCAACATTTTGTATGCCTTTTAACTCTTATAGGTACTTCTTGATTTACATCAAAATTATCAGTAAATCTTTATTATAGCACATTTATTGGTTTTTCTTAGAATTCTAATGTAAATTCTCCTTAATCTTATAAATGTTTTTCTAAGACCATCTATCTTCTCCTATATATAATGTATCATCATTAGATTACTTGGAAATTAATAGTTATAGGATAAACTCCTGTATTTCCTTTTTGCATTAATTTTAATAAATAATATTTAGGGTTGATAATATTATTTTCAAATTATTGCTTATACCACAATATTTAAATGAGCTTTTAATATTTTCTTATGTAAATTCCTCTAAACTTAACAAAACCCAATTTAATATATTATCATATTTTGGAGTTAAAATAACTTTATTTTCTTCATTGTTAGCTTATCTTTGATAAAACTATTTTAAAATTCTTATATTTTAGATTTTAATTTCTTTTTTATATTTGTATCAATAGGCTAAATTAATTTCGTTGATCCTGCCGAAGGATAAGCTATTCTAGTTTATGTTATGTTAAAATAGACGATAACATAATGTTATTATGTCCTATAAACTAATCATGTATTAAGACTAATTACTTACTAATCAGTTTCCAATTTCATATTTAACATAGTTGCTTATAGATAATTTCTGTAAAAATCTGCAGTTTACGATCCATTTTAATTACTAATTATAATTACATACTCTTAATATTTATTATAAAGTTTCTTTGGTGATTTAGATTTAAAAATAAACAATAGTTGAATAAATTTACCTAAAAAAACTGGTAATCCGCCCCTAGCACAAGGGTAACTCGAATATGTGTTCCTTCATTTACTTTAAACTGTTTCTATATTTTTCTTGCCTTTAAATTCAAATATAGATTTACCTCATGTCAAAGTTAATACAAAAGATCTTCATCAATATTCACAAAAACAAGTGATTTTATCTCCATTCAAGCATTTTTTTCCTAAAATATCTTAATTCAGTAAAATATTGTTTTATTTTATCAAAAATTAATTGCATTACTTAGATTTGAGATAAAATGATTACTCTGCCTATGTGATAATTTTCAACGATTTTTTTAGACACTAAACCATCCATTAAAAGCAGTAAAAGTTATTTTTTATTCAATCTACTGCTCAGTTTTGCATCATTCTTCAAATAATAATTTGGCTTTATGACAAATATTTTTTTTACTCAAACATATTTTCTTTTATCTCTTTGAGAAATTATCCAAAGTAAAGACTAAATCTCCACATTCAAAAACCTTGGAAGATAATTAATTATATTTCTTCTTGTTTGATTTTAGTTATAATGCTTCTTCTTTTGGAATAAGTTTTACAAAGTTTCGAATTTATCCTTCACATATTTTATGCTTCTTTGCAACTTAAACATCTTTTCTCTTAATAATTGCCTCTCTTGAGATATCTTTTTTCTTTTCTTCATTAAATTTTTAATTTTATGGTTATCCAACTTCATTTTTTTAATGCTCCTCTTTGAGTTGTTTCAATAAAATTTTCTGATTATTATTAGTTAAGTATCTTAAATGATCCATTCGAAATGAAAATAAATACTAAAAAATTTGACTTTGATTTAAGATAAAAAATTTAAATTATTTTTCACAATTATTAAATTTAAATTCCAATATTTTTATTATTAGATTATCAATTCTAAAAAATTTACTTTGATATGGATCTATTAATAAGGTTTTAAATTAATAAGAAGAACTATTTAAACATTGCAAAATTTTTATATAAAACTAATACATAAATAATGAAATAACTCATAAAATTATCAGAGGTTTTATAGCTATTTAGAAAGGCTACAATTAAATTTAGCATAAAGTCTTATTAATTAAAAATTTTTTAGAAAGCTTTAAGTTATAACTTCTTATTAAATTTATTAATGGAAATACATTTTTGATAAAAAGTAATATTTTTATTAGAATTAATTTAATATATTATTATTTTATTTCAAATAGTTGAACCTAAGGGAGCTTTAGTGATGTTGCAGGTATTACCTGGAGCTAAAATAATGTAACCATTTTAACCCCAATTAGTTCCCCACGAGTTTTTGACAATCCAGTTTCCTTCTTTAGTGTAGCCTACAAGAAGAGGAGCATGATTAACTGTCCAATTATCAGTAGAACAGTTATTAAATACACCGCTTGAATAAGAATTCCAAAATGTGGCATCAACTTGTACTGAAATTGGTTGAGTACTTACAGCATATTACAATTCGTTAGTTTTGTTGCTATTCCAGGTATAAAAGTAGATACTATCTTTAGCAAAGAATGCCTTTTATCTAGTTGCTGATGTAGCATTATTGCAAGTTCCTAATGAAGCACTGTAAGGATAATCACTTTCTGAAAAGACACCTTTCTATTAGATGTAATTCATACCATTAGCAGCCCAACCGCCATCACAACCCTAATTAAAATAATTAGTTGAATATATTTTGTAAGTACAATCAATCAATTCTTATTCAGAATATTATTGAAGAGTGTTATTTCTCATTAAATTAACACTTTCAGCTAAACCAGTGGCTGAGAAAGCCCAGCAAGCACCACACTAACCCTAATTCTTTACAGGACTAACTTTTCCTTGTAGTCTCCAGTCAACACTTTAAGGAACTACTTTTAAAGGATCAGTTGGGGTTGTAGGATTTACAGGAACAGTATTAGTTTTGTTATTGCTATTTCCAGTATGAGTATTATTTTTAGTATGTGTATTGTTTTAGTTCTTGCTGTTGTTATTATTGTTATTTGTGGAGGTATGATTGCTATTTTTATTTAAATTTTTATCATTATTTGAATCCAGGAATCTGTGATGGAAATCCTGAGAAAGAAATGGGTTCAATATCAGTGACTCAAATTCTTCTTAGCTCAAATCTGAGAATTAATTTGTACCAACTTTGTAAGAGTGATTTGGGTTGCTGTTATGTTCATTGAACTTCTAGAGATTCAAAAGATAAATCACTTGACGGAAATTAGCTTCATCAGCATTAAAGTAATTTTTACCATGATTGTATTTCCATTAGTTGAAATCGAGTAAATCTTTGATTTGCACTGATGATAATTTAGAGTTAGAGTGTTTCTAAGATATGAGCTGAGCCAAGCAGGAAGATAAAAACAAAAGACCAATTAAGATATTTTAGAATTTCATTTTAGCTGTTAATCGTTGTTATATTTTCAATATTTTAATGATTATATTTTTATTTATTTATACAATTAGCTTTTAAAATAAAAAATTACTTATAAATAAAATATGATGAGCAATATAGCAAAAATACCTTCATTTGAAATCACAAATTTATATTTTTTTATGCTAATTTTTCATTTGAAATAATTGAAAAAATTACATATTCTTTAATCATTATTGTAAAAGCTAATTTTTGTATTTTTTTAATTAATCTTTATTTTAAAGTAAAAAATTAATATAATTTTAAGGTTTTTTAGAAAATGAAAGATGGAATATTCAGAATAAATGATAAGTTTTACAATAAGGCATCTATTTATAGTGAAAAGTTAGATTTCTATTTATAATTTTATAAAAAAATATATCATATTTAAAGTAGAATATTATTAAGAATATGACTTTGATGCTCTAAAGTAATGATTATTAAATAATATAAATTTTGATGGCCCAACTTTGCTTTAATCCAAAATTATCTTATTTTGACAATTCAAGCTAATTTATTAACACTAATTTTATTTTTAAAAAGTTACTCTAAATATCTAATTTTTTAAATGTAGAAATTATTCAATTTACTTTAAAAAAACCAATTGGCTTTATTTAAATATTAAGCGATTCATTTAGCTTCTGTAAAATTGCTAAATATAAATTGAATGAAATAAAATAATTATTTAGTTATACAATTTTGAAAATTAAACATTTTCAAATGATTTGATATATAAAAACTGTATGTCTTTTTTTAAAGGTGACACTATTTGATTGTTACAGAGCTTTTAATTAAATTTCAAGTAAATTTTACAAGACTGATTAAATCCTAATCAAAATTGAATATCTGAATTATTAATGTTAATCAAATAATTGAGATTATACACAACTAATTTTACTTTCCTTTTAATATATAAAATATCATCAATTTTTCAAAATATAAGAAATAAACACAAATATTTTTCTGTAAGCATTATATCCTAATCCATTAAATCTAATGGAATTATGAAATTAAAAATATCATCAATCCTAATCTTAACTAATCGCTTTCATACACATATATGGCTATCTTGCGTTAAAAAATTATATCCACCGAAATTTTATTTACCAAATAGATTATTTCTTATTATAATTTGTAGAAAATATTTATTTGATTGTATTAAATTAATTAATATAAAAATTATGAAAAATGTATCCACATTTTCATTTTCTTTAACTAGAAAAATATTATCTTTGCTTAGTCTAAATTAATAAAAAGTACGAAAGCATAAAATGAGAGTAGTAACATATATTTTACTTAAAATATGATAGATTTTATAAATAGCAGAATATAAAATTTAATATACTGTAAATGCTCATTAATTAAGGCAATTCCTAAGTATCTTTTTTGCCCAAAAAAAAGTGCCATAAAAAATTTAAGAAAAAAATGCCTTAATTAAAATACGCCTTAATTAATGAGCATTTACAGTATATCATTAAAATTAGAAGATAATAGAGTAAAATCATTATTTAAATTATTGATAAAAAAAAAATTATTTTTAATTAATTAACACAATATTATATAATATAAACCCTATTCATGGTACTTTGGAATTAAAATGTATTTTATTTTTAAGTCAAATAGATGTAATTACTGGAGTGACACTAAGGTTGCAAGTGTTACCTGGAGCTAAATAGATGTAACCACTTTGACCCCAGTTTGTACCCCAAGAATTCTTAACAATCCAATTACCTTCTTTAGTGTAGCCTACTAGAAGAACAACATGGTCAACATACCAGCCATCAGATAAGCAATTACTGAATACACCACTTGAATATGAATTCCAGTATCTAGAGTCAACCTTAACAGAGACGGGTTATTTGCTAAGAGCATATTACAAAGAATTAGTAATATTGACAGAGGTATCAATGATAATTTAATCTTTAGCAAAGAATGCCTTTTATCTTGATGCAGATGTAGCGTTATTGCAAACACCATTTTAAGCTTTATAAGGATATTGGCTTTCCAAAAAAATACCTTTTCTTTGCATATAAACAAGGGCATTATAAGCCCATCCACCACCACATCCTAAGCTAGAATAGTCCTCTTAATATTAATTGTTTGTACAGTCGACTAATTCTTACTCTGAGTATTGTTAAAGAGTGTTGTTTCTCATCAAATTGACACTTTCCGCTAATGCTGTTGCAGAAAAAGCCCAACAACACCCACACCTACCTTAATCTTTAACAGGACTGACTTTTCCTTGAATTCTCCAATCAACAGATTAAGGAACAACTTTTAATTGGTTTACAGGAGGATTGGGATTAGGATTTGTTTTGTTATTGTTAATAGTATTAGTACTATTTGAACTACTTGTTGAGTTATTTTTATTATTGTTGTTATTAGTATTGGTAGAATTATTTTTGTTATTGTTATTTGTATTTGAGGAAGTATGGTTACTATTGTTATTTGAGTCCTTATTTTAGAGGATTCTAGCTTTTGATTCTTTAATAAGCGCAGAGTTCAAAATAAGAGATTCAAATTCTTCTTAGCTCAAGTCAGAGAATTAATTGGTGGCAACTTTATAAGTATTATTGGGGTTACTGTTGTGCTCGTTGAACTTCTAGAGGTTCATTAGATAAATCAATTGACGGAAATTTGCTTCATCAGCATTAAAGTATTTTTTGCCATGTTGATATTTCCATTTATTGAAATCAAGCAAATCTTTAATTTATACTGAAGACAAGGAAGTATTGTCATTATTATGGGTTACAAGCTGAGCAAAGCAGCAAGTTGATAATATGGAAACAAATAAAAGTGTTTGAATCATTGTTTTATTTTAATTATTATGGTTTTTTAAATGATATAATTATTATCTATGTTGAAGTATATTTTATTTATAAATATAAAATTGTAATTGAATTTTATTTTTAATTTGACTTAGGCTATAAATATGCTACAAAATTTGCTTCTGTTATAAAAAAATAATTCATGGTTTTATTTATTTAGCTTAATTTTATTCAATCACTTGAATTCCAAAATAATATTCTGTATAATTAATAGCTTTTCTATTATGTAAGCTGATATATGGATTTTTTTATTGTTTTTCTCCCTCTAGTTCGGAGAGTTAATAAATGAATAATTTGTATTTTTTTTAGTTTTTCGATATTTGAAAAATAGAAAATCTTTAAAGTTTAATGTTGACTCTTTCATTTAATTAAAAAGAAAACGTTTTATTGTTTACTTTTTGAAAAAACGAATAACTGTTGAAAAAGAATTTTTCAAGACTTACTTAATGCAATGAGTCTAAAAAGCAACACAACTAGACAAAATCTAATTAATATGTTTACTTAAATAAAAAGAAAATAAAAGTAAAGCAAATTACTTACTGTCTTAATAATCAATCTAAAAAATTAAATATCCATTCATTCAATTGTTAATTAATTAATAGCGCTAATTTTAGAATATGACAAATTTTAAGCAGCATCAAATTGTTTTGGTTAAAATAGAGAAGCAAACAAATTATTTTAACTTACTAAAGAAATATAAATTAAAATTTAATATTTTTTTTAAAGAGTGAATTATAAATGATTTTAATGAACTCATATTTCAACTAAAAAAAATCAATGAACTCAAATTTCAACAAAAAAAAAATAAACATAAAATTAAAATAAATTCCTAAAAATATTCTTTGAAAAGTCAGAAATTTTAACAAGTAACTAAAATATTTTGTACAATCAAGAAATGAGAAACAAGAATTTTATTTCAAAATGATAATTATGTTTACATTTTTGTAATTATTTAGATTCTTAATGATTAGTGATTGTTACAGAGATTTTAATTAATATTTTTCAAACAAGTCCTAATAATCTGATAAATCCTCACCAATTTGTATTATTTTACTCCAGATATTAATTAAAGGCAAAGCAAAGGTAATGAATAATCTTACATATTTATCATTCCAATTATAAA